TGAACCTTTGTCCGCAGGTTGCAGCTTTTTTTTTTTTTTTTTTTTTTTTCCCAGTTGCAGCCTTTTTGTCAGACTGTCTGCTACGTGCTTCTGCCTGCTCACTCTTAATTTTACGGCTCTGGCGCCAGAACCATCTCTCTGCAGGGGGCCTGGTCCCATGAGCAGCCCTGTTGAGTTTCCTGAATGCTAGAATCTGGCCGTGTTTGTGGAGATGTGCGTTTGAGGAAACTCAACGTGCTTTTCTGCACATCTTCCCAAACACGTCCAGATCAATGCCGTTGCTCGCACATCACCCTGAAGGGCCTGAACACGTCCAGAAACTCAATGCCTGTGCTCATGGAACGAGGCCCCAGGTCAGCTGTCCGATTCTGCAGATAGCTGTCTGAACGCGTATCCCACTGTGCAGATGGCTATGTCTGCATATGCCTACAGAGGTCGGCGCAGGATTAAGCCCCGAGGATGATTTTGAAAAAAAAAAAAAAAAAAAGGATTTTGTCGTGCTGTTACCTCTCTGCTCTCAGGCATTGTAGATATGTTTGCTTTCAACTTCCAGAAAGAACTGGAAAACAGGATATTTGTGTTAGCCGGACCCCCACCGACGGCCCCACCCCATCTCTGACTACCCCTGTTTGGGTGGGGGGCAACATGATTTACCTCGTTTGCCAGGCCCTGAGCTCGCAGGGGTCCCCTCTGTATAGTCTTTTTTCTTTTTTTTTTCACTACTGAAAACGCTTTTTTTTTTTTTTTTGGAGAACCACAAAACTTTATTGCTCATATCAAAGGAAATAGTGGCCGGGAAACCCCACAAAACATCCCGAGATTAACAATGGGGAGAACCCTCAGCTTAGGCTCCTGGAAACCGGGTCCAGTATCTCTTTGAACTAAACAATAGCTCCCCAAAGTAAAAAAAAAGGTAATACCAGGTACATACTTTTCAAAACCAATCCACTTCCTCAGAGGAAGAGTCTATCCTAAACCTGTTAAAGCAGACTCTAGGGTGGAGAGCTAAAGCGCTCACCATGTCCCACTGGAGATAACAACCACTGACAAAAGCTAAGTCTTCCGACAGAGTATAGTTTAAAGTTTAAACCACCAGTACTTGGACCAGCTATAGGCCGCAGAAAAAAAAAAAGACTAGAAACGTTTCTAGTTGGATGAATTTGGGCGCTCCTGTAGTGGCCCGTACGTTTCCTAAATCCGTGGCKYTTTTTTTTTTTTTTTTTTTTTTTTTTTTTTTTTTTGAACAACCACCCCCAGCAGTGATAGTGGTGCTGGTAAGAGAGGACACCGCTAGCACCTGGGGATCAGCTCCATCTATTGGTGGGGAAACCGTGGCGCGTTAACGGGCAGGACTTTAGGAAGTACTGGTGGTTTAACAAGCCTGGACTCCCTCCCCCAAGTGTTCCAAAACCATTTCCTGGAATTGACAGAACCTGGAACCTTATGTCTGATGCAGTCAGTTCTGATCAGGAGTCTTTTTTTTTTTTTTTTTTTTTCGGGGGGCGCGGGGGGTGGATATTACCGATAAGAAGATTGAGGCCGGGGTCCTCACAGTCTACCCGGAGTGAGAGAACCGAAGATGCTGTGGGTCCTATCTGCATGATGATCTGAACAGCTGATTGTTCAGGTCATGCCAAATCACTTTCATCAGAACCGACCTTATCCACTGAGCGCCATACAGCCACTCTTCCACAGACTAGATGCACCTTTTGTGTGTTCCAGAAACAATCCACTCATCTGTCCCTTGAAAGGAATCCCTTGTAATCCTCTTCCAGTGTCGGATCCACCAGTCCCAGATCCTCCTGGAGGCTGGATAAGAGAGCCATAAATGTGGATTGTTTTCCCAAGGCCATTTGCATCTTAATATGCAGATAGTGGAGATCTTCATGCCCAACCAAGCCTTAGGAGTAGTGGCGCCCTCTGTCTGAGGGTGAAGAGATACGGAAAGCATGGTAGTTTCCCAAGCTTACAAAGAACCCCACCACTGGACACTCTGTAGGCCTGCGCAGTCAATCCCCTGGTTTGAAGGGCAATCAATGCTGGCAGGCCCTACCGTCACTGTTTCCTTTTTTCAGTCATTCGCAAATGGGACGATGGACCCGATTTCCAGCAGGTGATGCTCCCCACCAATAGATGGAGCCTCTCCCCGAGTGTTAGTGGTGTCTGCTCTTATCAGCAGCCACTAACACTGGTGGGGGTGTTTCCAAAAAAAAAAAAAAAAAAAAAAAAAAAAAAGGAGTAGTGGTAGTAAGGTAGTGAAAGGCATTTTATTTTTTATTTTTTTTTATTTTTTTTTCTATATTCTTCTCTTAACTTCTGTTTCTTTACCTTCCACTACCTACTCCTAAGACTATCTAGAGGGGACCCCTGCAAGCATAGTTTTTCCTCTCTCTGTGAAGGGGATATTTGATGTTGCCCCTTGCCCCTAATGTTTAGGGTATAGGGTTGGGGCCGCCAGTGGGGGTCTGGCTAACACAAAGACCGAGACCTGCCAGTAGCTGTGCCTCCCTTTCTCATCGTCCCCCACCCTTCATCAAGTAGCAGCAGAGGCTCTGGCCAACACTCTCCCACACACCACACACAACCCACTCGCGCTCACACTCACACCCGTGTTGGTCATAGACCCCTCTAATACCGATCCGGGGTATCCAGAGGACTATCACAGTCCGTTGGCACTAAAAGAATTTGAGAGAAGAACATAGTGTAGTTCAAAATAAAAATAAAAAAATCTACAAATAGAAAGATGTACCAGCGTTGGTACACCCCTCAACAAACTGTTGAAATGCAGACCTGATTTCGAACCCAGATGGAATCAGATGAACAGAGAAATTCCTGAATTTAATTTTTAATTTACCTGGGGCCGGTCAGTTTCACTACTATGATATCTCAAGGCTGTTGCCCTTTGAAAAAAGGAGAAAGGGAAAGATGTACATTGTATAGGCTTTAATATGGGAGTGAACGAATGAATGAGCGCAGCTCAGTTGATACACCCAAGAACAAGAACTGTTGAAACGTGAAATAGAGACCCAAGTTCGAATCCACATGATGGGACCAGATGAGTGAGACAAGGTCTGGAAAAAAAAAAAGAAAAAAAAATCTCCGTGATTACGCCTTCTTCACAGGGCATAGCATCACCCTCTTCTTTGTTTTTTTCCCCCACCCCTTTCTTTTTTTTTCTTAAGCCGGGAACCGGGCCCAGCGCCCCGTGCAAAAAAAGGAGGAAGGTGGCACCCTTCAGTCAGACACTGCTGATAAAAACAAGAAAAAGAGGACATGATTGGTATCTGTGGATAAAAGTTGTCGTCAACAAAATATCTATGGGATGTAATGATGATGAAGGGAAGATGCAATCAGCATAAGGCCATAGAGGCGAGACACACAAGTAGTCGAAGGGAGATGGAGGGCCTAGCTCCACTACTACTCTCGAAAAGTGCAAAACGAGAGTGAATCTTCCGCTAGAACATGGAAAGATACACCTCCATGATTTTTGTTTTTTGTGCATGGCGAGAGTAGTCACTGTGGAGCCAGGCCCAGACTCATGGAAAACGAAAAATTAGACAGACGCAAGTAACATGGAGCTTATGACACGAAAGAACGTGGAACATATGACACGAGAAGGATAGAAGACAAAACCAAAACGCCATGGAGACAATTGGGTTCGCGGAAAATCAGGCACAGATAGATAAAATTTTAAGATTTTAAGCACAAAATCAGTGCCATGCTGGCGTGTTCCTACGCAGCGTTTCATGCGCCCGCCAGAAGCGGAATCGTCAGGGGACTGCGAGGCGCGTAATGAGTAGTGTACAGGAAAAAAAAAAAAAGAGAGTGAAAAAAAAGAAAGTGTACTCAGTAGAGAGCATTGTACAAACATGACTAGGTGCAGAAAATTCAGAAAAACAAACAAAACAGTCAAATTAGGGAAAAAAGAAAACAAAAAGAGCAGTAAATGTTTGGCACCTGTGGACACACAGATTGTCAAGCTTCCAGTTTTTTTTTTTTTTTTTTTTTCCCCAATACTTGTTGCGTGATTCGAACCCATGACCTGCTCCACCAAAAAAGAGAAAAGAAAAGGACCACATTTTGGATTTGTCTGAAATAAAGTCAACTGTCTGATTTATTATTATTATTATTATTATTATTATTATTATTATTATTATTATTATTATTATTATAATATTATTATTATTATTATTATTATTATTATTATTTTCCAACTGTTTGATTCTGCAGATCTATAAGATGTATTGCCTCTCTCTGCCGGCCAACTGTCTGAATCTGCGGATCGCAGTCTGAAAGGGTAACCCTGCTGCGCAGATGGCTGTGTCTGCATAAGCTGATGAAGATGGATGGAGAGGAACGGAAATCACACTTTTTTTTTCTTTTTATTTTCTTTTCAGGGAGACGCCTCAGGGCACATGAAGTAACATTGAGGAGAGACTGCTGATGTTCATACGGGGACGGGACCGGAGGGGAGGCACAGAGACTGGCCCATCGAAGAAGCTCGGTCTGATGCTATCGGCTGACCCCTGGCCGGTATCGCCCACCTGCTGTAGCAGGTATCCCACGTGTG